AGGACGTCCTTCTTCACCCAAAGAGTGATTAACACTTGGAATTCACTGCCACAGGAAGTGGTGGGTGCTACAAGCATGGATGGCTTCAAAAGGGAATTAGATAAGCATATGGAGCAGAGGTCCATCAGTGGCTATTAGCCACAAGGTATAGCTAGGGGCTCTGGGGCAAGTGATGCTCTGTCTTCTTGGTGCTTGGGGGGGTCAACAGTGGGAGGGCTTCTAATGTCCTGGCCCCACTGCTGGACCTCCTGATGGCACTGGTATTTCTGGCCACTGTGTGACACAGAGTGTTGGACTGGATGGGCCTTTGGCCTGATCCAACATTGGCGTCTCTTATGTTCTTATGTTCTATGTTCCTCCTCCTCTTCCTCTTCTTCCTCTTCTTCCTCTTCTTCCTCTTCTTCCTCTTCTTCTTCTTCTTCTTCTTCTTCTTCTTCTTCTTCTTCTTCTTCTTCTTCTTCTTCTTCTTCTTCTTCTTCTTCTTCTTCTTCTTCTTCTTCTTCCAGACCCTGGCTGGTTACTCTGGCCTGCGGGAACTGGGTGTGGGGCGCTTCGTTCCTCATGAGGAAGAGGTGATGGTGACATGACAGCCGGCCGGGGTACATAGCCGATGCCCGCATTCAATCCACTGGTCTGTGACGTTTTCATAATGCATAATAATGAAGAGAATGCCCATAAAGCCCTGACCCGGATAGCTCAGGCAAGCCCAGTCTCATCAGATCTCGGAAGCTAAGCAGGGCCGACCCTGGCAAGTATTTGGATGGGAGACCTCCAAGGAATGCCAGAGCCGGGAGGCAGGGGCAGGCTATATCAGCCACTTCTCTGAACGCCCTCCGTGCCCCAGTAGGAGTTGCCAGAGGTTGCCATGACTTCCAGGCACAGGCACCCACACACACACACAATGTAAAAATAAAAAAAAGAGAAGAAATCTCATAAGCACATTCACAGCTCCGCAAGCCTTCCTTTACTGCCTGTCTGCCTTCCCCTTCAGTTTCCGTGCTGCAGTGGTTGTGCCACACGGTCTCTGAACAGATACAGAACTCCTTTGACGCATGAAGCCAGTCGTACTTCACAGGCTGTGGCCGTGGCCGTTAAGGGAGTCTCAGAATACACTCTTTTATGAACAAGCATGGAGGCATTCCCTGTGCAGAGGCCGAGCCAGCGTGATATAATGGCTAAGAGTGTCAGACATGTGAAGGAGAAGAGGTTGGATTTATACCCCGCCCTTCACTACCCGAAGGAGTCTCAGAGCAGCTGACAATCTCCCTTCTCTTCCCCTCCCCAGAACAGACACCCTGTGAGGTGAGAGAGCTCTTTTGAGAACTGCTCTTGAGAGAACAGCTCTGAGAGAACTTGTCACTGACCCAAGGTCACACCAACAGCTGCACATGGAGGAGTAGGGAATCAAACCCGGTTCTCCCAGATTAGAGTCTGCGCTTCTAACCACTACACCAAACGACACCAAATCCCCACAACTGCCGAGAAGCTCACTTGGTAACTCTTGAACCCGTCGCACACGCTCTTGCTCTGACCTACCTTGTAGGGCTGTTGTGAGGGTTAAGTGGGGGAAGGGGAGAAAGCCATGTATGCTGCTCAGAGCACCGTGGAAGCAGGGCATGATGGAAAATGTAATGGTAGGATAGATTTGCCGGGATAAATCAGTGTTTACAATATCGTTCTTGACTGACCATGTGCATTGAGAAAACAAAAACCCCGGAGAAAGTTTCAGTTGGATAGCCGTGTTGGCCTGCAGAAGGAGAGCAAGGCTGTAGTCCGCTAGAATCTTCAAGACCAGGGAGTTTTGACTCTCAGACGTTTATCCCCTGGATACCTTGTTGGTCTTGCAGGTGCCACCAGACTCAGATCTTGCTCCCACATTGAGAAAGCCAATGTTTTCTTTAAAGAACTGGGATATTCCACTTTTCCCTTTATCTCTATCATCTATCTATCTATCTATCTATCTATCTATCTATCATCTATCTATCTATCTAGGAGCTGCGGTGGCGCAAGTGGTTAAGACGCTGAACTGCAGGCTGTGGAAAGTCAGTAGTTCAGCAGTTCGTGACCCGAGTGTGCCACATGACGGAGTGAGCTCCCGTCTCTAGTGCCAGCTCCTGCCAAACTAGCAGTTAAAAGCAAGAAATTGCAAGTAGATAAATAGGTACCACTTCGGTGGGAAGGGAACAGCGTTCCGTGCGCCTTGGTGTTTAGTCGTGCCGGCCACATGACCATGGAAACGTCTTCGGACAGCGCTGGCTCTTCAGCTTGGACACAGAAATGAGCACCGCAACCCTAGAGTTGGACTCGACTGGCTTTCGAGCAAGGGAACCTTTACCTTTTTTATCTATCTATCTATCTATCTATCTATCTATCTATCTATCTATCTATCTATCTATCTATCTATCTATCTATCTATCTATCTATCTATCTAGCCATCTAGCCATCTAGCCATCTAGCCATCTAGCCATCTAGCCATCTACCTATCCATCTATCATCTATCTATCTCAAGATAGAAGGGAATTGAAAACAAATCAGCCAGTATCATAATGCCCCTGTATAAATCAATGGTGTGTACAGTTCTGGTCATCACACCTCAAAATGGGTATTATAGCATTGGAAAAAGTGCAGAAAAGGGCAACTAGAATGATCAAAGGGTTGGAACACTTTCCCTATAAAGAAAGGTTAAAGCGCTTGGGGCTCTTTAGCTCGGAGAAACGACAGCTGAGGGGTGATATGATTGAGGTTTATAAGATTATGCATGGGATAGAGCAGGTCGAGAAAGAAGCACTTTTCTCCCTTTCTCACAATACAAGAAGTCGTGGGCACTCAATGAAATTGCCGAGCAGTTGGGTTAGAACACATAAAAGGAAGTCCTTCTTCACCCAAAGAGTGATTAACACATGGAATTTACTGCCACAGGAAGTAGTGGCAGCTACAAGCATGGACGGCTTCAAAAGGGAATTAGACATATGGAGCAGAGGTCCATCAGTGGCTATCAGCCACAAGGTATAGATAGGAACTCTCAGTCTGGGGCAAGTGATGCTCTGTATTCTTGGTGCTTGGGGGAGGGCAACAGTGGGAGGGCTTCTAGTGTCCTGGCCCCACTGCTGGACCTCCTGATGGCACCTGGTCTTTTTGGCCACTGTGTGACACAGAGTGTTGGACTGGATGGGCCATTGGCCTGTTCCAACATTGGCTTCTCTTATGTTCTTATCTAGCTATCTAAATTCTGAGAAAGCAAACAGATGATAAAAAAATACAAAAAGAGAGTTCAGGGTGCAAAAAGCATTGTATATAAAGTACAATAAAAATAACTTCTGTTGGGAGACATTACTAGTCAACATTTAACATTTAAAATGACTTCTCAACCACATTTTCGTTGCAGCCCACTTGCATACAGTGTCTTAGACTGCTTCTCATTCTAGATTTGCCTCCTGCTTTCATACATCTAATACACACTCCATCTCTCCTCAGATTTTGTAACCGACCTATTTCTCAGATAAACTGTTGGTTTTGCCATCACTGCATACTCAGCAAGTTTATTTTTCCACTCTTCTGATCCTGGGCAAATGTCCGCTTTCCGTTTCACCTTTTCCTTTTAAAATGCTGCTTAAAGCCATGTGCTTCTCTGATAATCCTAATTCTGCCCCACTTTTCCCGCTCTGCCAGGTGAGGCTGTTCTCTGAGGTGCCACGGGATCAGAGTTTGCCGTCCGCCATCTTGCAAGAATCTCAGCGTCAAAGAGGGGCCCCGAAGAACACTACTGTAGTCTTGAAGAAACGCAAACTGCCTTCAGCTTTCAAGATGCTTTATAATGGATATGAACATCTGGGGTGGCAACCCTTATCATTACATTCCCGGGGACCAAACCAAAAGAACTGGAAGAGACCTTGCTACAAGAGTCTACTTTTCTGCTCTTGTTTTGCTAGAGGTTTGGAGCCACTGTTGGACGCCAACACTGAACCACTGCAGTTTGAAGTGGAAACTTCTCTTCAAAGGCCGAGACGTCTGATGGACTTTCTGTTCTGGACGCTAAACTTGGATAGGTTCTCTCTGCTGCGCCTAAACCCGTCAGGGATTGTGCGGTTCTAGGGGCAGCCAGAAATGTTTTGTGTCAGCTTCGGACTTGTGCAAACTCTACTGAAATGGCCGATGGTGTGTCCTGATGTGTTTGTGTGTGTGTGTGTGTGTCTGTGGGTGCAACGTAGACAACCGTGAGTCTTGCTACTGAGAACAATTGCACTAAAACCCTATTCTGCAATAAGGTCTCCTAGTTTCTTTGTTTTGGTTTCAGGGAGGAACCCCCCCCCCCCGGTCTTCCTGGCGGGTGAGGACTTTTAGGGAGCAGAGTGTGTGTGTGGGGGAAAACAACCACTATCTGGGACAAGAGAAAGTTTTTATTTTTGTATCTCATCCACCTCTTTTCCGCCTCCAGAGGAAACCAGGTGTTCTAAGGCTTTTCTGTACTCTCATTTGCCTCGCTTGTCAATTCCTGTTTCTTCATGGTTTTTCCCCCCATGTTCCACATGTACTTTGCTCCCTCTAGTGGTTGATTTGAGATTACACCGCTGTATGCCCGGCATAAAAACCTGCGGCTTGAATCTGCAAAGAGACATGCTGGACATAAACCAGTGTAATATCGAATGGACCACTAGAGGAAGCAAAATCTGTGCAGAACAGACCCCTTCCCCCAAAGAAACAGGAACTTACAAGCGAGGGAAAGGTCAGTGTGGAAAAGCCCTTAGCTAGAAATGTTCCCTCTTTCTCCCTCCTCGCTCAGTAACTTGTATGTTTCCAAACAATCTTCAGCCAGAGAATTTTGCTTTCCTACGGGGGTGCTAGCAAGATGGGAGTGGTGGTGTTGACATAAGTTTTAAGCGTCTGTCCCAAAAGTAGCATTGACTCTCAATCATGCCAAGTATCTCTGGGTGGTAAGCTGACAAAGCATGATGTTTGAGGTCGAGCTTTTCCCACCGCTGTTTTGTAAGGCCTGACGTGAAGTTTGTCCTTCTGTCGGAGACCATCTCCTTGACAAAGCCAAATCTTACAAGACGAGATGCCCTTTCTCTTTTGGTTGAGCCGGCTCTGTTCCAGTACCTGGCTCAGGTCCTGTAATGCATAATTCCAGATTGTGAGCCAAGTGTGGGTTCTGGAGGAGCAGGTAAGTTTCCTTCCTCCCCCCACTTTCCTGAGCACAGCCTGCCAAACACCATGAACAGAATCACTCAATTCTGAGTAACTGCAGAGACAGCGCGGTTTAGTGGTTAGAGTATTAGGCTAGGAACTGGGAAACTCCCAGAGACTTCCATCATTCACCTTTTCTCCATTTTATCCTCACAATAACCATGTGAGGTAAGTTAGGCTGAGAGCAAGTGACCAGCCCAGGGTCCCCCAGAAAGGCAGAGCGGGGATTCGAACCTGGAGTCTCCCCGTTTCTAGTCGGATACTCTACCCACTAAACTGCGCTGTCGCCTCTCCTCTGCATTACTCAACCCACCTCCTGGCTTTGACACTGCCATCTTCTCCTGCGCAAATTGTGATCTGCCGTTTGTATCGGAGAAGCTCTGGGCAGGAAT